TTTTGGCACATCGAATAGCCCCGCCCTGACTAGTATCAGCTCGTACTCCATCATTCCAGATAGTTTTCAAAGATGGCATGTCTTCAAGTGGATCGTTATATCTTCCTGGCATTCTCGCAACCTACATACTGTATCCGAACCTCGAAAACCTCCAAAACTAGATTTTCCGAAGCCCGAGAAAGAACACTTCACTGTATCAGTAGCCATGTTACCCCTTGTTTGATTTGTGTCCAGTCCAGAAGGACTGGGGATGAAATACAAAAAGTCACGCAAATTTCAACTTTAATCCGAACTGGGTTAAATCGCCTTGTTAGCGACTCATCGCTTTTTATTTGCAAAGAAAAGTGTTTTATTTGCTCTACAAATTTCCCCGCGATGTCTTGAAGAGTAATCTCAATGAACAAGATTGCATCCAACTAATTTTAGCGAAAGACCTTTCAGGACGGTGTCACGAACCAGTCACGCTGGCGGATACTGCCATTTTATAAACAAGATAACTTCTTAAAACGGACCAAGGACATGGAATCAACGGCCAATATAGTTTCAGATGATTAAGAAATAACCTTAAAATGTGAAAGAACTTGGATAAGACCCATCAAGCCATCAAATGAAGTTGGACTTTGACAAGCAGATCGACAAGGCGAGTGTTCGTTAATTATCTGGTTTACGAAATTTCTGGAAATTCAAACGGCGGCCTATTCTGAAAACGTGGAGAGCACAAAAATGTTATTCCTTGTTGAGTTTTATTATCATTCCTAGATTGTATTCATACAGATAGCGAAGCTCAGACAGGTGCCACACTTTTTAAAATTACCCTCAAAGTTGAGCTACTTTCGTGTTTTGATGGAAAGCCGAAAACACGTGCTGGGGAAAAAATCATTGCCGTTGGAAATAAACAAATACTTCGGAACTGTGATACGGCTAGGAAATCTACAGTGGTGTATCTGTATACGGCAAAGAAAATCAGTCTTTTTAAGCCAGGTGTTTGTTTTCTAGAGCGCGGTCAATATTAGCGATTTTCGCACTTTGAACGGCTATGGCGCCGGCGCTGACCGCCCGGAAATTCAAAAATTCGTAAAAAAATATATTTATCACTTTCGGTCAAACGAAATGCATTTTTGCAACTACTAAGGTGGAGGCTTTAATATCCCAGAATATAAGGAAAATTAATTTTTTGATCCAAAATCACTGGTCGGTTTTTACGGAGACACGCTCTTAAAATCTATGCTTCTAGTTGTAGTATTGCATCGCGCGCTTTTATTGTTCAGACTCTTTCACACTGATAATTTTTTTCAGTATTTCTTGTTGGTGCTTATGTTGCAGCTTATACATCTAGCTTTTCTTAGAGCCGTCTAACTTTGCGTATATCCCTTATTTTATTTAGTGCTTAAAAAAAAGAAACTTAATTTGTATAATAAACTCGATTGCTGGTGGCACCCTCCATGTATCATTGAGTTGATTTGTTTATATTCTATTCTGCTGAGAGAGGCCCATTCTTGAAAGGCTTATTCTTCTTTGTTGTATATGTTTTCGACTGCGCTTCGGTCATTATTAAGTTCATGTATGAACTTATTAAGTATATAATAAGTAGAGTAAAGGAGAGAGAGAAACAAAGGATAACAAAATATGTAATTATGAAATTTTTAAAGGGGGGCGTTTACAAAATTTTCAGACTGGCAGGGGCTCCACTGTTCGATCTTTAGGCCTTCAGTAACCCTGCCCTTTTGAAAAGACTGGGCCGTGCAAAGTATTAGCCAACTGAAAGAATTTGATCAGGTTATTCTATGGCAGGTGATGAGCAGGTTCTGAGTCAGAGTCATTTGAGGAATTTGAATGTTCATTGATTGCCACCTCCACATTTATTACGGTTTCGCCGATGTTATTTGTGAATTTTTTTTTTCTCACCCACCGTTTCAACAGACATTTGGAATCAGTTTCAGTGCCTAAATGTAGTATTGAATAACAAAACTGGACCATCATTAGTTATCATTATCATTATCAGTATTTACCATTGTAACTACGAAAAGAGTGCAGCATACTCTAAGGCATTTTAATGTCTTAACTAGTCTGAGTGAAACGAATATTTCGGGCATTTTTATAATCCGTTGGAAACGGAAAAAGGAAACGATTACAGTGCTTGTTATCACGGAGATGCTGAGAGTAAAGAACGAGGGCGCCCGCCCTAATTTGGGGAAATACCCGTAAAAGGAGAACTAAAGACAAGGAAGTAAGAAACAGAGAGTCAACTATGATGTTTGGTAACCTTCAGGAAGTCGATTCGCCAATAAAAACAACAATTAACTAACTTACCGGATCTGTTCTATTTGGTGTTGTTCTGCTTGTTGCATAATAATGGCCACTTAGTGAGGTATTGCTGGCGCAAATAAGTATGTCGGTATCGGGCTGTGGATAAAAGTGATAAAATTCAGGTAAGGTTAAAAACTGCCAAAAGTTTAGTGGTTGGAAAATCTTAGCCGTTGGGGGGAGCCCAGGTGGACTGCAGCCGTCAGTGTTGAAAAAATGTTTACCGTAAGAAATTTCCTAGACACAAAATGCCATTTGTAGAGTGTCAAAGTGGCTTGTACCTCGATCCTGGGGCTGATGGTCAACTCTTTCAGCATTTTTCCATCCGGGAACAGGAAGGTCGTAGATTCCCAGGAGTTAGAGACCTCCCGGACCTTGGAATTGTGTATCACAACAATGGAAATTCATTTTAATCATTTTAAACCACTAACTTTATTTAGATCGTAACGCATAGGATGGCTAATTAGCCCTTAACTGTAAAAAGCTAACAGTTAGTTGGAAGTGCCTCCACTCGATTAAGACCGGCACTTAGAGAACATTTTAATAAAAGCCAAATTCGCGTATTATTGCAATTATTTTTCTGCCGCACGATTCCACAGTTTGGTAACTTACCATTTGGTTATCATCGCTAAATCCCACTCCTGCCCAGTTTCCTCTGCCTCTCAGTTCGAAAACCACGCTGTTATTACCAGAAGCTTGGTAAGTTACAAGGAAATGGCAATCTGCATCCGGGCAATTATCTGGAAACCTAAAGCTTCCCTGTTGCATAGCAGGAGCCGACTGAAAAGGGAGAGATTATACAGATGAGTACATTGTACCATTTAAGGCCATAAGTGCGTTTAAGATGTCACTGCGGCCACGGCATAGAGAGCGTGTAAAAAGCATTAGGTTAAAAACTCTTGCTATCACTGCACGAGAACGACATGAGATGTCTTATTTTGCGTTTTATCGACAAGCTGAACACACTACGACAAATTTCTTTTTCTCTTTTTGGATTTTGCAATCATTATCAATGAAACGTACTTTGATTGAGGACCTGATTACACGAGAAGAGGGTTTGCTCGTTTTTCCAAGTATCGTACCTTAACACGGTGCTTCATTGGTAATGCGAAAGTTGATAACAGCGAGATAAAAGTCATCTCGCCTATGCGAGCCAGCATCAGTAGGCCAGCTCAAGTAGTCATGCATTTTTTACACCATGCATTTTTGTTTGACTGGCCCATTTTAGGATGGTACGTGCGGGCTTGGTTGAAGGAGCTACGTCAGGTTTTTTTTGCTGTTACTGTTAATAAAACCCAAGTATGGAAAAAGTGGCTGATAACGTATATTTAACTTATACTTTCAGCTAAACCATACCTTAACAACAACAGCAACCCCATTTAAATCCCAAAAGATCCTTTTTAAAGCCGGAGCACTGGGTTCAGATTTACTTCTAAAAAAGGACATTAGGTACACCTCACCAATCCAATAATATAGCCCGCCAACCTCAGTCACAAAGTTTACTCCAGTTCTCTCACGCCCTCCCATCCCTGACACTTAATGGGCTTCCCCGCAAGCCTTGCAAGATTCTGCGATACACGTATTTCTAGTACTAACTTATAATTTCAGCTAAACTTTGACCAGGTCTGCAAATATACTCCAAATAGCACATGTTATCCGTCGAGTTGTCATCTTGCTATGTTTCTAGACGACGGTTCTTCGTGAAACGAGTAAAATGTTCCACTGACAGTTCAGCCATATTTCTTTTCACAACCAAAACAACTCAACCTCGTCCCCCAGTCTTCTCGGTAAACGGTGCATTAACCTGCAACTGTGCTGCACTTTTGACGTCATCGGTTAATAAATCGCAAAATTCTTCCAAATTTGGTCAACAGTAGCTGGTTATGGTGAATTATGCGTGTTCTTTTAGCAAGTCAGAAAGGGCGAAATATTTTGAATGAATAATAATGTATAAAGATAATATGCAACTCACTGTGTTTGTATTAACTTGGGGGATGATTGTGGAGTTAGCTTGCGTAACCACGACTTTTTGAGGAGAGGCTGCCCTATTGCTGTGCTGTTGTATACCAGAACCTGTTTTCAAGGAAACAAATAATTATGCAGATTCATTTAGAGGAAGTGAAAAACTAAAATTTGAGATGAACAGTCTTCAGTAGAATGTGCCAGTTGAAATGAATTAATATGACAACAATCAACCTTCTACCGAGCTTTCCATCATAAGTTCAATATTATAAATAAATTAACGGAACCTCTCTTTGAGAGGAACAACAAACAGCCTATCTCATTCATGATTGACAGATAAACAGGAGCGAAGAAACGTGTCAACGGCAACAACAGAAAATAATTCTAACTTCTTATTTTTGAAGGCAGACAATGTGACATCATAAATATTGTATCGAGGGGTAATTATGTTAGGAAAACGTCCCACTATGAGGCAACATCAACGGCAACAACCTGAACGATAAAGATATAAAAAATGCAACAACAAACCTGTCACGTTTCCATAAGCAGCTAAAAGGAATACCTCTTGGTTAAGATCTTTAAAATTTTGTATTGGTGGATCTGGGTTAATATCCCTTGAAACCCTAAAAGAGACGGATTAACTTACGTTATAAGTGATTTCGTTAGATTTAGAATCATTTATTTTTCTTTGCAATCGCTCCGGTAAATGAAGAAATTATACACCCAGGGAACAATCATATTACATGCCTGCATTTTATAGTGTTATTCTCGTCTGCTTGCTCGATAAATTGTATTGCTGCAGGTGTCTGGAAGAAAGACACATCGGAGTATAATAAAATCATAAGTTATAGGCAAACATATACTGCAAAATTATGATGGAAGGTTCTGTCGCACTTGTTTGTAATAATCGCCCCACTTTAGATCCTGTGGCACTTCAGTGTAATAAACTTGGAATAGATGGCTGGAGGGCAAGTAGTCCTAATAAGAACTATCGTCAGGAGCCGATTATCTTGCTGTCATCATTATCATAATTATAATAATATGATTAAATTATAATAATATAATTATTATTATTGTTATGATACTTATAATAATGACGACGACGACGACGACGACGTTAATGATGATGATGAACAGGATAACAGTCGAATTCAATTGCTTTCTTGTTACTGAAAAACGTTGTTACGCCTTATTGATTATACTGCAGCAGAACAAGCATGGGATGTCAACACAATCCGTACAACCCATACAACTTCCAAACTTATCACTATGAAACCCAAACATAAAGCAAACAGTGCATCCTGAATCAATATTTTCCAATTCAGGGACACCTCCACGTTTTAAACCAAGGATGCAAAATATGAGGAGGTTTTCCCAGTCATCTAACTCTTAAATTCTCTCTTGCTGAAATATATCACACTATTTTAATTTTCCATTTATTTTAAAAAAAAATTAACCATTTCTGGTTAATAGGATCCCATGTATAAACTAAGTAGATGTAATTATGTGCTGTGAGAGCAAACGAGGTTGAGGAGAGAATGGACTAAGAAGGGATGACCACGCCTCATTTTATAGATAACTGAGTTCAATGTACTACTGGAGCAAACCTAAGACCCTGTTTTTATGGAGAAAAAGGTCCTGGGTAGAGGGGCTGCTCGCTCACCCGAGCTACCCTGGGCGAGCCAATTACCTTACAAAACGTGACGAACGGTTTACATCAGAAAAAAAGGTTTTCTCGGCTATAAGGGTGACCCGCCTAGCTGAGAGAGTGACCCTCTTCCCAGGACCACTTTCTTTGCATAAATAGGGCCTAGTTGGAAGTCATGCCAAACAAATTGATATTTTTGTCTTCTATAAACTATGGATGAAGTTGACTTCCTTTTCACTCGATCTTTGCAAAATTAAGCAAAACTGCATACCACGAAATTAAGTTACATGATACTTACTGGATTTGTCCTTGGCGGTCTTGACCGGTTTGTTGCGTAATGATGACCACTAAGTGATTGATTATTGACACACATCAGAATGTCGGTATTTACCTATGTGATATATTTGTAAAACAGTTAATTCTTTGACTTGATGCCCGTTAAAGAGTGAGTGAGAGATTTTTGTGGATTTACTTATATAATAATATCTTAAATAAAATCACTGCATTGAACAGTATTGCTACTACGAAGTGTATATTTTTAAAACAGTTTTTTGGCTTCCTTATCTTGAAAACCTGATAAAACGTTTATGAAGAAAACATGGCAGAAATAACTAATTAATGTGGAATTAAAGAGTGTCTGCAAATCTTGATTCACAGTTGTCCTCATTTATAGACTCAGGTGTAATTCAGGGGCGCTTTCCATTCAGCAAAAATTCCTGTTTGAAATTTCAGAAATTTCACGCGCCCAATGGAACTGTTCATTTCGCCTGCACAGACCCGACCCAAGCTTCCGCACGTTCGGTTATTGTTCTTGTAAGCAGGAGACAAAAGATCGATACTGGGGATAACAATTTTGTCAAATGGAAAGGGACATTTCGGTCAGATCGACCGAAATGACCAGACTGGTCAAAGTGGACCACCCTCAAAGCTGGTTCAGAGTATTGCGGTCAGACCAAACCGAAGTTGCCGGAATTTTTGCTTGAATGGAAAGCGCCACAAGAGAGACGAAATGATTACAATTACGATGTGATTCCTTCGTTTCGTTATCCTTCTGTCCCAAAGGTACAAAGAAACTGCATAAGTGGCCACTAATTCTACTGCAAATGTTGATAAGGAAAATAGTCTTCGATGAAGAGCTTTTCGAGAAAATTACACGAACCTTTTGTCCCATTTAAAATGGCTTCCTTTAAATAAATCGTAATAAGCTTTGTGCTTTGTTTCTTGCCAAAGAGACTTGTTTCCAATTTGGTTCAAGTCACATTCTCAATTAGAGAAAATTGCCTTTGTCTTTTCGTGAATTAACCGCACTTTGGTACGTAAACATGGCGAAATTTCAGAGACATAGCTCTCTTAGTACTCATCAATTGACGTAAATTGGAAAAGCACAGAGATGGACAATAAGGAGGTCTGCATGTATTCGTCATTAAAGAATCGAGAAGGAATCAAGGAAACTAGGCCGATTAAACTGTGGCAAAGACTTCTGAGACTGTTACTAGAGACAGGCTCCAGTCCGCTTATGGTCTCTAAAGTGGCGAGTTCTCAGAGACAACGTACCATTAATTGGTCATCGCTGAAACCGACTGCTATCCAGTCTCCTTTCCCACTCAGCTCGAATTCAGCATGAGTTGAATTTGTGGCATTGTAGGTTATCAGAAAATTACAATTTTCGCTCGTTGTGCACGAGGCTGGCGATGCGTAACAACCTTTGGTTTCTCCACAGCCTTCCGTGGTAAACTAGGAATATAGCAGATTAATATAGATTTACAAAAAACGTTCGCTGCTAGAGATACAGTCATTTAATTAGTGACACATGCACTATCGAAAAAAAAATTAACATAAGCAAAAAGCACACAAAATGAAGCAAGAACTACGAAGTGAAACTCCTTCGGGAAGCGTATGATCACCATTGATTTCTAAAGAGACTAGGTGTGCTTGGCCACTTAAACTATAACAGTGCAACGCGTTGGCACAGGATTTGTATTCTGGAGGTCAGGCTGGATTTTGTAAAGGGCTCTAAAAGACATAGTCAACCGTAAAAAGATTATAGATCTAGACTTTGTATTTTCATCTAGATAAAATTACACAAAATTAAATAAATGATTATCATATGTGAAGTTTTTACTGTCAGCTAAGCTGTAGTATTTAGAGTAGATTATTTCGAAACAATTTCATTTGTCCATCACAGAGCATACAGCAGGTAGCTGTCATTAGCACTAGGGAGCCTATTACATTAGAGTTGATGAGCAGAAAATACGAAACACCCTCCGACCTTATGTCATTAACATAACGAAATCGTGTTTACCAACCGTTAATGCACAAATCTTGCTTGATAACAAAAGTAGCAGGATAGATGATAATAATTTCTGAAAAGACAAAATCAAGATGTTAAAATTAGTAAGTAAAACTATCTTGTCCCTCAGTCTTTTTTTCGTGTCATTGTAAATTTCCTAAACTATAAATTAAAGCACTTCTATTTAACATGTAGCAAATGAAATCTTGTACTTCGGCGATAACTGTTTTGTTGGGTAGACCCCTTTGTACGTATCCGTTGGAAAGAATTGTTTCAAAACCCTTTCATGTGCCTGATAATTGATTAAAGGGGCTGTGTCATAGCTGTTCAGTTCATTTTGTTAATAAACCCTATTACGCTTCCTTTAATTGGCTATCAATGAAACTTGAGAAATTACTTGTGAATGATAAAATCACAGTTTCGTGTCAAATAAATGTCTTCTAAGCATTATATCAAACAATTCAAACAACAAAAATGAACTTTGAAAAACTGTTAGGTGAACAAGTTTTCAAAAACCACAATTGCAATTCGTTTCTATCTCCTTCAAGTTTGTCCATGCGTGTCTCCTTTTGTATTTCTATGTTATCTATACCTTGTTTACTTGTTTTGAGCGGTTATTTCTGTTTCACTCAATCTGGTGGCGGTTCCCACAGCTTGGATTTTGATAAATTTTGTGACACAGCTCCTTTAAAGTTTGATTCTCTGCGCGTTTGCAGAATTGCGCTATGATGAATTGCCAGCAGAAGTTATTTATCATATTTTTTACCGCGGAAGAGTGACGAGCAACAAAGAGGAAAAGAGAAAAGGGAAGCAGAAATTAAGATAATCGGTTTTTTATTAAGTCTGATACATGACAGATCACAAATTAGTTCAATTGCGCTAACATAAATGCAGTCAACTACTTGATCAAATTTCAAGAAAGTCGTTTTCTCCCTCAAAAGTCAGCACTGGATATCCACTTCAAGTTCACCGAATGTTTGGTCCAAATTCAATGACTGCTAAAAAGGGTAGACCCAATGTTGGATCGGAGGTGATCTTTGAGTTGATGTACTTCGATTCGAACACTTATTTTATTTCAAAAAAAGTTTTGTTTCCATAGGCAAGAACTCATTAACAGAGGGCGATTTTATCATTCTTCTGTTTTAAAATTCATATAATAGTTTCAGTCTAACCTGTAAATAGTGTTTTAGTTTTATGACCTCTATTATTAGACTTTTTGTCGCATGGCAATGTTTTTTATTGTATTGCCTTACACTGCATTGAATTGCATTGTATGTGTTAATGTATTATTTAAAAACCTGTAAATAGTGTTTTAGCTTTATGACCTCTATTATTAGACTTTTTGTCGCATGGCAATGTTTTTTATTGTATTGCCTTACACTGCATTGAATTGCATTGTATGTGTTAATGTATTATTTAAAAACAGTTTCAACATATAAAGTAAACAAATCCTAAAATAGCTGTTGAATAGGCTATTTTCGAGTTCCAAATTATCTTGCTTTCATAAAGGCTAAGCGCAGAACCTTTCTTGTGAAAATGAGATCTATTTGCATGAGAATAAAGAAATTAGTTTCATATAAATGGTTTTCCACTTAGCCTCGCTTTGAAACAGAGGCTTGGGGCAACTCGGGAATGGCCTGTTAAATACATTTGCGTTATTACGATCTATTTCTTAGTCTCTATAGTATATAACTATGATGGAAGGTCTGTTTGCCTGTATTTAAATCTATTTGCTAAATTATCAGAATTATCAGGGGTAAACTGATGAATAAAAACTATTAGCGCGTGTTTAGTCAAAGTATGACTAAGAAATTTTGAGTAACAATAGCTCACATTTCGATATTTTAAAATTCTAACATGACTCCGAGGCTTTCTGGTCATATTTCTATATTTAGTTTGGTTTTCTTTGTGCTCAAATCTCTTCTGGGAATTGTGAGACAATGGAGTAGTGAAAAATTTGCAATTCTGACCCTAACACCTCGGAGTCTGTAAGAATTTGAATATCGATACGTGAGCTACTAACTAAAAATAAATTTTTCACCGAGTTTATATCATCTGCCAAGTTATATCAGTCGAGAGCATATATCATTATTATTTGAGTTTTTGCTAGTAAGCATGTAGCCAGCTAACATCGGTTTATTGCCACATCATGACCACATGAACGGAAAGAAATTCTGTTGTTAAGTTATTTTTCCGGGTCCAAACAACGGCATCGCTACCAAATAGAGAAACGAAACTGGAGAAAGCTTGAGAAAAAAAACAGTACCTAGAGAAGTCTTTGCGTGACTTGAATGCAACTGGCTTTAAAGTATTAACGAGTAGATAAAACATTGACGCAAAAATTAAAATAACATTTTCCAACATAATTATAAAGATAACATCTGCCCACGAAAACCGTTTCAACAAGCGGTCGATAATATCTCACTACTTCAATTCACTGTATGTCCATTATAATTCGTCGTAATTCGCAAAAACATTAAGCCCTAAAAAATAATTATTACAAGACACCATTTCCCCCCTAAGCCTCTTAATCATTTGGTTTTAATGAGGAGTTAGTTTTCTGCATATATGTCTATATATAAATTATGATGCTTAGTCGAAAGAAGTAAAACGCAAATGCAATGTCATGCAGGCTACAAAGGGATCGTCAAAAGCTGAAGTTTCGAGTTCTGGTCTAGAATGAACAAAGAGCTAGCATTTGAAATATATCTAATGGTATTCGAATCCCCTAACCAATACGTAACCGTTGATATATAAAAAAGATCATGTCTGGCAGTAAGTGTTGCTAAGGGTACGAATAATACTGCAGTTTTGGCAAAAGGAAAACTGATTAAAGGCTATGAGACCGACGGTATATAGGCTGTGTTACATACTTCTTTCCCTTCTCTTACCTTTGCCGATGCAAGCACCATAATAATGTCAATTTTCTGTCGCTTTGGTTATGAATTAAGTCAAAGAAAGAACAACCTTTCACGCCTCCTGTGAAATCTTGAAATTAACAAGAGGTATTGTATGCACAGCAATAAATAAGTCTTATGTTGCCATGCGAGTGCCCAATAAACAATTAGAAACTTATCTACATATTGCACGATCATGGTCCTGCACCAACTATACACTTCCAGGCAGTGATCTGCGTCATTAACCGACTTCTTAATGGCCATTGTTTTTTAGAGCACAGATGTCACGATATAATCAGGAAGGCGAACTCAACATTTTTGTCGGCAGATAGGTCCCCGAGACAGCTATCAAAGGCAAAGAAGTCAGGATCAAAAATTTTAAAAAAGGCATACTTACGTGTCTTTGGGAGGGTTCAGTATATTCGCAAAACCATATCTACAGTTTTCCCTTTGAGAAACGGGGTGGTTATTCCACCGGAAGTGGCATGGAACACGCGACACGCAACACGCAACACGCAATGGCAAGACTCAGCACCCTGGCTAGAATGGTCTGGCATACGTCCCGAGAAACTTCAGAGGTGTTCCGAGAAGCTCTCGAAAATGTTTATAAGTTAGTGTTTCTCCATATGCATACAAGTTTTATTATTGGACTTGGAAAGAAAAATGTTTACTTACCAATTTGGCCATATGATCCTCGGATGGCCACAAGAGTCGCCGCTTCCGAAAGGTAGCTAAATTTTAATATCAATCTTAAATTTTAATAGGTGATTTTTCGAGAAAAGAGCTGCGAAAGAAAGCAGAACTTAACTATGAAAGTAAAACTTGCAGAATAGTTACTTGAGTACTTATGCGCCCAGCCCTCCCCTCCCGGTCTGACCCCTGGGGGAATTAGCATTGTTTTAGCCTTGGATGGCAAATTCCCGGGGGTGGGGACTCTTGAGCTGTCAAATCCCCCGGGATGAGGACGAAAAAAGAGGGCAAATGCCCCGTTCTCCGTCAACACTGCAACATTTTTCATTGATCGATTCAATTAACGTCTTCCTTTGTAATAGTGCTATTCTGATTAACAATGCACGCCGTGACGACACCAGTTTATGGTTTTAGTATTATTATAAAATTATTGACATTAAAATTAATAATGTGCTGTAAAATTAAAGTTAACTGCTATGAATAGTTTTATAAATATTAAAGATTGTTCTTCAAATAATATTAAGAGAAACTTGATTCAATAACCAAAAAATGTTGATTCACGTTGATAGCTCCCGAGTTTCGCTATGTAATCCTGGCTTGATAAGCAATGAACCAATGCATGCATAAATCGAGAACATGCCTTTACAAACCTCTTCAACTTTTTCCCGTCCTTGACAAATAAGCCAATCTGCTTGTTTTTCCAGAGAAATCGTCTGCGTAGTTATATTCTGTTAGGAAACCGCAGGAGTCATGCTTCAGCAAAGATAAGCCCCGTTGGTGCCACCTGCCTTCCGTGACCTGTAAGGCTTCTT